AGATACTTACATTTACTGAGACAAATCATGTTACATTCATCCGAAAAATTGTCAAATAACTAAATTTTTTTCAGCCCCGTTTTCTGCACAGCTACGGCGAGTTATCTTTATCCCTTATCCTAATCTCTTATACATAATCTTTAGCATGCAATTTGCTCTGATTTATTATCAAAATAGTTGTCAGTAGTTCTGTACCATAAACCTTTCACCCAAGTCATGGCTTCTGTTAGACTTGGCCTTGTCGAGTTTCAGTGATCACAAGATTTCTTTGTTGCAATATGTAAAATTTAGATAAATAGTCATTTCTACAGATTTGCTAATTATCCTTCTCTTTTCAAGGAAATTTCTCTTGCCTTTAGTGCAAGAACGACTGCTGGTTAAATACCAAATTAGCAGACCACCTTGTTTACATTACAATGCAATAGAAATATCAACTTATAAAAGGTCAGGTTAGGCAGGAACAAACTATGAACAACATTATAAGCAGGAAGATTAAGGGGAGATATTTTATTGGATAATATATAATCAGTTAGCCCACAGCGATGTTTTCTTGAAGATACTTTTATGCAACAGATCGAAGTAATTTATAGCTATTAATTAATTTTTAAGAGAAAAGATTGATGAAAGCCAATGACAACTTCGTTGTCGTTTTTGACAATTTGAATGGAATGTAAAAGATATTTACATTTATTGAGATAATCACATCATACATTCCCGGAAAATTGTCAAAAAAATTTCAGCTGAATTTGTTTTAGCTCCGTTTTCTGCAGACTTACGAGTTTAATATCTCATGTACAGGAAAGAAAAGTTATTAGTGTAATTTATATTCTCTCTCTACATCATTTAAGACCATCCAAGTATTTCGTCCCTTTTCCTTAAATTCCTCTGTTTTCTGCACATTGTCTTCGCAATTGACTGTCGCAATTTTCTCAAAAAAGAAAGTTCCAGATTATATCATAAAAAGCAAAGAAGCGGGAAATATACTAATGATATTAGTAAAATATTTGAAAGTATTGACATTCGAACAAACTGGTGAAATATTAATTGTTCCAATGTTTTCATTGTTTTTCATTGTTTTTCGATCTTTGAACCACCGTGACGAAAAGTCCTATCCGGAATTCCGCTCCTGACGCAATATCCTGCAAAATAAACTGTTGTAATGATGATGTAATATAACATATAAAAATAGTTCCCATGATATTTTATTAAGAAACAGATTTGCAGCCCTATAGGACAGAATATCCCTTCATTTTACTTTATTGCATGAATATCAATACCTGAAGCAATTTTCCTCATTCATTTCCTCCGACTTCTACGACGGTTTGAATATCGGTTCGGAAAAGATTCTGAATGAGGCATGTTTGAATGATTATTACAGCTCACATTTTGTAACCCTATAGCACTTGACCTTCAGAGCTCTATGGCTTCTTACGCCCACATACAATTGAAAACCGGCACGAAGTCATATACCACATGTTAATCCCAGCAGGGGAATAAATTCTAAGACGTGTTGAAGTAAATATTATCAAAGGACTAAGTTTGCAAAGCCTATAAGACGTTTTCTCGTACTTAAAAAAGCTGCACAAAAAAAGTCAATGCCTAGTTTATCTCACTTCATTTTCTTCGAAATTTTATTTTGATTTGATGACGTCATCCTTATTTTAATTTGATGATGATCTCATTTTGATTAACGGAGAATTTGAATGGAAGTGCACACTTAACAATTTCTTGTCTTTCGACTTGAAAAGTGTAGCCAAACTATAATTTACTGAGCTGAAAAAAGCCACCCAGTCAATACTGTGACATTATGAATTCTTTCGGGATATTTTAATTTTTAATACTCAAACGCTTCGTGATGTCATTGCATCATATCCACAGCCTTTGCTTTCATGCTAGCATTCTACCCGCAGATGACATCTTCCAATTCAAGAAATAAAGGTTCCACACTTGCACTTGCATTTCATAGAATTCCCTATGTCCATCTGTTCATTACAGTCATTGAGTCATCATAGTCTGCTCACCATTTCCGGACTATTTGGAAATTCAAATTATTTCTCTTCTCAGAAAACCTTAAGACATTTGCTTCAGAATTCATCCACGGCCCTATCTTGCGTCTAAGTATTATTTCCTTCCAATCCATCATAAATTAAATGCGAATAGAAGACAAGCGAACCACAGTGATAACAAAAACAATGACAGTTAGGAGAAAGTGCATTTATATGTGCGAAAAGTTCTAGTCAGCAACAATATTCGTATTTAATTTGCGTCTCGCAACATACATCGATTTGGCTGAGATCTTAATTGGAGTGCACTTTTTTGGGTTGACATTTATATTAGGAGCAATCTGTAAAATTGCACTCAGATTTACCTTCATGTTAGGTCTTACATTAACGAAATAAGCTCGTTACTAAAGTGGATCATACTTATGCTAATGCAGTTGAAAAGAGATGGAAAGAGAGATTTGATTCATCAAATCAACCATTCTCTTCAGCTGAACAGTTCAAACCATTCCAGTCAATGCCCCTTCATATGACCAATCTTTGAACCTACCACATTTCCCACAAACAGCAAATTACATCATAAGAAACCAGTCAATGGCGGTTTCGCTGAATAACTCTGATCGTGGTCTGAAGGGAATTGAACTATTTACGAGGAGGACGTGTGCCTTGATTTTATTACGCGTGTGTGACAACATGTTGTGGATGGTGGGTATTACTTTTATGAGTCATTCGTTAAAGGATATATCTGGAAATTATTACAGGCGCTATGATGCAAACCAAGAGAACCAGTTCTGGTTTCCGGTCTGACCCACGTCTCCTACCACGTATCCGTGATGTAAGTTTTCAAGTTTTACCATTCTTCCTAGTGTTATGTCATTTATTGCTTATTATATACCATCCCATCACAAATAGTATATCAACGTTGTATAAGAAAACGTTACAGACTTGGCAAGCGAATGAAGGATATGACGCGGAGGATCTCGCCTATCATCTTCAACAAACCTATCCGTTGGTTCATTTTAATGTTGCCCTCTTTGAATCTTAACTGCCTGTTGCTATGAATCTCTCTACTATCATCAAATGTCTCACATCCATTTAGAGAATATTCACGGCGGAAATTTCGCGATTTTTTGAAGTCAGTCGAAATTGGACTTCGAATGATAAAGAATGCTAACGTGGTAGATGACGTGGTCGATCTGACGAAGGAATCTAATGATACTTCAGCAATTGTGGAACGAAAGCGAAAGCTAATGTTGGTACCTTCAGTTATCTCACTGTTACAATAGGATGAATGAACTCGAATATATTGCTTCGGCATATAATAGCAAATTTTTTGTATTCATTATTGACGGATAGTCGATAAATTTAATCTGCTGAAGAATCTTTGTCTTTTGTTGTGGTCGGTATTTTACAGGTGGAAAAAAAAGGAGATGGGAAAAGGCCAACTTTTTTTTTCTTGTAATACTAGCAACTTTTTGTTTTGCTTACTGGACTGTTTGATAAATTTTAGGACGAAAACTGTCAAGAAGCTTAGTCCTGCTAAGGACAAACCGGAAACTGGTGTAAGGAGTTTCAATTTCATTTTGTATTATTTCTATCGTTTGCAGTATCGCATTATTGTTTCTGTCATTTTCTTCTTTGTTGACCATTTGAAAATTTGCAGTTGAAGAAGCCTCGAAAATTATATGCATCATTTGGATCGCTGTACAAAACAGAAATTAATGTCGAGCCAAGTGCATCGCACGTAACGTTCTCAGATATCGGTGGTTGCGAGCAGCAGCTTTTGGTAAGAATTCGTTTGGACTTGATGAATTATGGTCCCTTTGATTGATACTGTATGCCATAGCGCACAATTTCCATTTCATTGGAATAATTGAATTAGGTATTTCCGTTTCTAGGAAGTTTGCAGTTTCGTCATGTATCTTTTACATCCAGAAATTGATGGTCTGCTTGGAGTTACACATCCTTCTGGCTTTTTGCTTCATGGTCCTCCTGGATGTGGAAAAACATTATTTGCTCAAGCCATTGCAGGGGTAAGTATTCGAAAAATGTTTTAGATTTCATTTATATTTTTTTAAAATCCCAATTAATGTTGGCTGTTGAATATTGCAGCAGGAACCATTTGTCTTTTTTTGAATCTCTTTTTTTCTAGCAGTTCAAGCTACCAATTTTAAAAGTGGCAGTAACAGAATTGGTTTCTGGAGTATCCGGCGAAACCGAGCAAAAAATACGATTATTATTCAACAAAGCGATCGAAGTAGCACCATGTGTTTTACTTTTGGATGATATCGATGCCATTGCCTCCAAACGGGATAATGCACAACGTGAAATGGAGAGACGTATTGTATCACAGCTTGTTGCTTGTCTTGATGGTGAGTGTAAATAGTGATGTTACGAGGCTCAATCGCTTAATTGTATAAACTATCTTTAATAATTTTATTTCAAAACGCAAAGTTTTAGATTTGTCAAATCCGAGAGAAGATGTCGAACTGAACGCGGACAGCACAGATGTCGATCTTTCAATTAGAAAAATACGTAAAGGGAATCTAGTTCTTGTAATAGGTAAATATTCAACTTCAGCTGATAAATCATGCCATAGTCCTATTTGTAGATGGCAAACTATAATGAAAACTGACCGTTACATATGTGCTTCAATTGCAGGTACCACAAGCAGAGTAGAAACTATAGATCCAGCTCTACGAAGAGCTGGTCGTTTCGATAAGGAAATAGCGTTGGGAATCCCGGATAAACGTACTAGATTGAAAATATTGGAGATTGTTTGCAGGTATTCATCTTTTTTCTTCTGTTTCTCGTTATGCTACAGATTCGAAATTACCACTGTGGTCGAAATGCATGAAATTGGATTTTGTGTTTTTTCCATGTTTCATCTCCTGGGATCTTCAATTTCATCTTCTAGAAGCCTTCGATTGAATGACAGAGTAGTACTACAAGAATTGGCACGTCTTACTCCAGGATATGTGGGAGCTGATCTTAAAGCTCTATCGAAGGAAGCAGCATTATGTGCAGTGAAAAGAGCAGTAAATGGGTACGTTGTTGTTATGAAAGGTGTTATGTTTTTCATAGTTTTTAGAGCAGTGTCATTTTTATGTATTCTAATGCTTTTCAAGGATATTCGAAGCAGCAGGTGAACGTAAATATGGGAAGAAGAAAATTGAAGAGACCGAGTTAGAATTACAGAAAAGTAAAACCCATTTTTAATTCCTTGAATTTTTGAAAATTCTTTTTTTTATACAGCTTCCATAAAATCCAATTTCATTTCTTTTTGCCATGCTGTCATAGTATCCAAGTTGATACTATCAAATCACTGTTAAGGCTTATGTATTATGTATAATTCTTTTGAGAAGTGTTAATTAGGTGTTGAAAGTGATTCCTCGGTATGTTTTAATACATCTATCCTAGTAAAACTAAATTTTTGCAGTTAGCTTTCGTTTTTAGTTGCTGAATTTGATTTGATGTAGATTTCGAAATTATAGATTATTTCAGTGCTTACTTGGCTAGAGTCATCGCAGCAATTGGATGATAATGATTTACGGAAAATTCGTGTAACGATGGAAGATTTCAATAGCGCATTAACATTGGTGGATCCATCGGCTAAACGTGAAGGATTCGTCACTGTTCCAGATATCACTTGGAACGATATTGGTGCACTAGAAAGCGTTCGCGAAGAGCTGAAATGGAGCATACTGGTGTGTGAATAAAGTGTAAATATTTCAAACCATAATTATTTTTTGTTTTTTCGACGTGGCTTGAGAAAAATTTAATAAACATTAGAAACTCAGCAGTTCACAATGCCACTTGATTATTTATTACTTAGAATATTTGTCGTAAGTAGTTAGGTGATTGAATTGCTATATTTTACAGATTCCTATCCAACAACCTGAACTTTTTTGTGAATTTGGAATGGAAAGTAGGCCTCAAGGAATACTGCTATGTGGACCACCAGGTTGTGGTAAAACATTACTGGCGAAAGCTGTTGCCAATGAAAGTGGCATGAATTTCATTAGCATCAAAGGGCCTGAATTACTAAGCATGGTATGCTAAGCTCTGCTTAATTCATTTTTGCTTCATAAGTCAGATATCTTAGCAATATTAAATGTAGACTACTCTTTGTGAAGTTAATTCTATAAACGATATGCTAGTAATGAATGAAGTTACATTTATCTCAGAATCATGTTTCCCTAAAGATTAAATATGTTATATAGTATGTTGGAGAAAGTGAAAGAGCAGTGCGTACCGTTTTCCAAAGGGCAAGAGATTCTTCACCGTGTGTCATTTTCTTCGATGAAATTGATGCACTTTGTCCAAAACGAACAAGCAATGAGGTGTGGTCACTTCTATCTTTAGCTTACTTTTCAACCGTACACCAAAGTTCATTCAGTAGTTTTAAGTTCAATTTAACTTTTAAGTATTCAAAATCTGATCAAAAACTTGATGTGTCTGGTTTTATTAACCTTTCGGAAGACTGTGATGGTTTTTTCTTTTTTTTTCAAGACAAGTGGAAGTTCACGGTTGGTAAACCAATTGCTCACAGAAATGGATGGTGTAGAAATCCGGAAAGAAGTATTTCTAATTGGAGCAACAAATCGTCCGGGTATGCCATCTGCTATTTGATATCATATGTTTCCTCAAAATCAAGATACCATCCGTGACTTAGAAACTCTGATGTGAGCTTACTACTGAAGCTGCAAATGAACTGAAAAAATCCTGATCATTATTTTAACAGGCGAAATTCAAGGTTAACATACCATTCTCATCTTGACAAGCGGATGATAGCATTGCAAGAATTATGTAGTTGTTAAATGTGCAATGAACAGTTATAGGCTTGAAATGCCCTTGTATTGCGTACATACAAGGCGACTTCAAGTCTAACATTTCAATGCAGGTATCACAATTACATAAGTCTCCTGTGACATCGCATCATCAGCTGATATCTGATATGGATTTTATATTACAGACATTGTTGATGGCGCTGTTTTACGTCCTGGAAGGTTGGATAAAATACTTTTTGTTGATTTTCCAAATATGAAAGAGAAAGAAGACATCCTTTGCAAAATAACGAAAAACGGAAGACGTCCTCACTTATCAGACGATTTTTCTTACAAAAGTATTGTTGCAGACCCTGCTCTCGAGTGGTTCACGTATGTTTTAAAGCTTTTTATTTATTTTAGACACTATTTTTTGTTAGGAACTCTCCTTATTGGGATGAGACTTTTGCTTCCGCGTAATATCATCAGATCTGATGTTGCTGATATTGTATTTATGTGCTATCAATCCGAAAATCATTTGGAAGAGAAGGAAGCAGTTTGTAATAACTGTAGATGTTAGGAATCCTAATCACACATATTGCCATTTATAAAACTTCATTTTTTCACATACAGATGGTTATGTAATGAATACTGTCGTGATATATGTGTGTATTGTTGATTTGAATTCCAGTGGAGCTGACATAGCGGCACTTGTGCATGAAGCGGGTATTATAGCTATGCAGGAAAGCATATCTGGAAGCAACACAGATGGATGTCATCGAGTGACTATGAGACACTTCCAAAATGCGGCCAGGAGGATAAGGCCGTCTGTCCCAGAAAAAGACCGAATTGTTTATCAGAAGTTGAAGGAAATGTATGGAAAATTGAAATAACTATAAATTTATGTTTAAATTAAAATAAAATCGTGAAGAAAATGAAGTGAACTAGTCATTAAATTGTGTACTTTACAGTACTTCTGAACGTATTATGGCTACAGCAGAGCGTGTTTTAGGGTTTAAGAACTTGGTTCTTTTCTAATGTTTGCTTCAACAGATCTTAGAATTTGCTCAGCTGCTCGGATTCACATGTGGTCTATGACTTGCTTTATATATAAGAAGCCATAGAGTTCTGAAGGAATAGGAGGAGAAAAAGAAGATTCGAGTATTAGAAGGATTGAAGTATAAGTTATAATGACATCTGAAATCTCAACATTTAATTGACACAAACAGCATTAACTGCTGTATGGTCGGGTTACGACATATTCACCGGACGCAATATAGTTCATTTAGACTTATTTAATTTTTCTCTAGACTTCTTTTTTTTCAAAATATTCTTTTCAAATTTGATTTCCTAAGTACCCAAATTTGTAAAATATAGAAAAAATCGATTAGTTGTATGACTTGAAAGCGAAGAAACAAAGGTTCATTTCAATTGTGGTACAATCTAATCCGGGATTAGCGGTTGATATGCTTTTAATATATTTGTGTAACAAATTAAATTCATAAAATAGAAGTTACGAATCGACTTTATAGCACCATCGCAAGTGATTAGTTGAGGAGGAGATTATCTCAAACTTCTTTTCTACTCATCTTTCCTCATTTCCATTTCTTTTAATTTCTTAAAATACTACACTCTACATTTAAATCGTGTTTCGTTTTTTTGCACGTTCGTGTATCATCATTCGGTATGACCAAGCATTTTTAGGGAATATATTAAAAGATTCCAAATCTGTATCATCATCGAATCAAATGACTTTAAGTACCAATTTAGTGTTATGTTTTTGTGATTCGCAATTGAAATCTATGATCAACGTTGCCTCTCCATAGTTATGCATCAAATTCGATAAGCAATACATTCATTAATGTGCTTATTGCATTCTATTACGCTCATTATTATTCCATTCTTGTTGTTTGGTGAAACAATTGATGCTTTTGTGGCTCAACATTTCATGTCCCTTTGTGGCCTGGCATTTTTAGGGAATATATTAAAAGTAGACAGTTATTTGTGATTGAAAATAAATGAAACTGAGTATTTACCATTTGATATATCACTAATAATTGTGGATGAGGGGATCTCTGATTTGCATTTTATTGAAAGTGTATTTCATACATATATGTATATTAGAAATAATAAGTATGTTCACTTTTTGTTCATCACTAAATAATTTTGAACTGATTAATGGTACGTATCTCCTTTGTGTTCAACTTCTCATACTTTCTGAATGATTTTTCGCGTTCGTTACAACTTCGATTTATCGACGGTTTTAACCTCAAATCCAGAACTAAAATTAATTTAATATTATTGCGGAATGTTGCAATATGCTGTTCAGTATCAAACATTTTAGCATGATTTTTTTATTAATATTCCATCCCTTTAATTAATAGTTTGATATAACGCTATGCTAAGTGTATCAAATACTGAAGCTCTAAAAAAGCTATCGTGGTCCTTTGCCTGATCCATTCAGTTATCAAAACTTTCAAATCATTTGAACCTATCCATATAATATTCAATCTGTATCTTCCTCATTTACTTAAAACTTCTGGGAAGGATATTTCGATAAAACTGGACACAAGTCAGTTGTTGAAAATATATCCAAACCATAGAGATTATGCATATATCATACAATTTCAAAACTGTTTATTGTTGCAAAAGATTTGCTTTTTTATCGTTTAATATTTAAAAAGAAAAAAAGTTTTCATCACACACTAAGCATATAATTAGCCAAATACTCCTTCAATATTAATTTGCTAACATAATTTGAACAAATGTTATAAGGTTTTATTTTCAAATCAAAGATTTCCCTCAATTCATTAACATAGCAATTTAACAAAAATTTGAGGACAGACATTGAATAATACTTATTGATGAATGTTTACCGAGTGGACGTTGATGTCACATAGTTCGCGAACGACTAATCCTTTCACGGTCATTGCCATTCATTCTTACAGTAAGAAAACTCCTGTGCGTTTCGAATGTAATACCGTTTGTGTATATCCGCTTCGGAAGGTTACACAAGGTTCTCATCAAGGTGTTGATCAGTTAGCACCAATTGCTCTATCAGTACGGCATCTTTTGGGAATTCTAATACTGCAATCCCAACTTATTGGTGCTTGGGCTATGATTACCAAATATGACATCAAAAATAATACCAAACAAATGACAAAAATGGTAAGTATGAGAATTTACACAGAGTAACTGCATGATAGATTATGAAAATGAATGAAATAAGTTTGGTGCATAAAATTTGCAAAATTATTGCATGCAAATATATGTATGGATAAGTAATACTTGAAAAAAGAAATGGAAGAACGAAAATGATTCTCATCACTTAATAACAATAAGTATTCCATATATGATGAGCTAAAAACCAATTTGTAGATAGATAAGTCAGTAGTAACATTGGAAATTGATATGATATAAAGAAATGTTATTCTTGTTGTTCATAAATAACTGATGATAGTAGAAGTATAATGTGACTAAACTAGAAATAACCCAAAAATAGGCCTTTTTATCGCAGAATGATACTATTCTAAGCTTTTATAATAAATAGATTATCTGATCACATTGCAGATATTACACTATCAACAAGAAAAAAAATATGGGAATATATTTAGGTTATGGAAAGTACTGAAAGCCAATACAAGTAAGTATTACCATTATATGGCCTCATTCAGATGCTGAGAGAAATAGAACGTCGTAAAAAATGATAAATCATAGTCAGTGATATAAGATAATGAAAATATACCATTTCATACTTCATTAAATAAAATAATTCAGCAACTAAAAAATTCATGAAATTCAGGAAAATTAATAATAAAAATAAAATGTAAATAAGGGAATTAAGAAAATGTGTAAGACAAAAAAGGAAAAAAAATATTATGAACAGTTTTTGCTCACTAAGAATATAGCAATGAAAAGATAGAAAAAGATGACACTGTAATTAATGAAAATTGTGCGACTGGAAGAAGTGGTAAATCTGTATGGACTGGCCTCCATATCGTATGTTGACAATTCATAATCCTTCGTTTTTAATTTTCCTAAATTAAAAAGAAAGAAAAAGGATGCATTCATAAAGAGCGAATTCAAAAATTCTAAATTCGAAAGCAAGATTAAAACTTATTTTTTTAAAAGTGTTTTAAAAACATTTCATGATGAAATTTAATTTAATTTAGCTTTAAATAACTTCAAATTATACCAAAGTAACACTTTTCAATGCCTATACCGGATACGTAACGGCCCATCGAAGTATAACCTCGCGTAAGTGGTTCCTCACGAATGCATAACTTTCCATATTCTGTGTCGTGTTTTAGAAATGCAAATAATACATCGAGATCAGATGATTCACGAAATTCAAATACTTGTGAGCTTATCTGAGGTACATTACCGCCTTGCAATGTTGCAATCGTTCTATAATAATACAAAACATATTGTTAGCTTGTATTCTTTTAAATTACACTTTACCAATTAATTTAAAAGAACAAATAGATAGCTTAGGATTGAAGAAAATCTCTAAGGAATCTCCATAACTAATTAAATACTAACTAATTGATTTTTCCTAAGCCATATCTCTATCAGAAATTTATAAAAGATCATGGAAAATGATGGACACATTCATGAACAAATTATGAAAATAAACATCCATCTTCTGCTTATTATCTTTTATTAAATAAGGTCATCGGACGGAGTGATCACAAGTTAGTTGTCATTTGTAGCCTTGCAAAATATATTGATATAATTGGAAGATTTGAATATCTTTTAATCGTGACATAGTGAAAAGAAAGAAAGTTTATGGTATCAATCGTTCGTTAAATCCTTTCTTTTACTTTCGACTAATTCAATGCTTCGAAATTTTAATGAATGATTCGTTCCGGAAATTATTTTTTAACAGGATTTAAACGATGGTTTTCCTTACCTAAAATTCCATTCACTGTGATATTTCCCAGAAAATCATTTTATGAAAAAGAAGGTGATAGGAAAGAAAAAGCTGAGAATTATTGTTTGGCATTGAACAGGTCGTTAATATACTTATTTTTTTTGATTTCTATGAATTTTAAATTGAGCTGTTTTAAGTCTATTACTTTTTATAAACTTTTCAACTTTTTCCATGCAATTTAATCATTAGTTACTTCATCAAATGAAGAATTATCTTTCAATATTCACTTGGTAAGTTAGAATGTAAACGGACATTAAACTGACAAACTTAATTATAGCAATGATTAAAATAAATGAGATAAGGATGATAATTTAAATTTAAAGGAACGAAAACTTTAAAAATAGAATCTTAAAAGTTTTTAAAACCATTTTATAAATTGACATTTTTCCTAAGTTAAAGGCTTCACGTACATATTATTGAAAGTTTTAACTTATTACTATAGGCATATAATGTTAATCAAAATATGTAAAATTATATTGATGAAGATAAAATTTAAGTGATCAAAAACATAGCGAAATTAAATTAATTTTACATACAAAGAAGTTTACAAAAAAAAAAAAAAAAAAAAAAAAAATTAGATATGTAGAATTTTCTAATTTATTATTCGATTAAAGCAAAATAAAATGGAATATTTGTCACCGAATTACTTTTTCCCAAAAAAAGAAATATGCGATATTGATGCATTCCCTTATTTTTTGCATTTTTGCATTAAACTACTAGATTGATAAGAGAGAATGAAAGTGGAGCGCAATTGAAAGCTGTACCGATCGGCATCCTAAAGGACTGAATCATTGTTAGCAGCAGTGATAACGATCAGTTGAGCACCTTTTGGTGACATTTTTTATAGATTGATCCGACAACTTACTGTAGGATTACGATAAGCAATCAAGAAAAGCGACATTAACCCACATACTAGATCATAATAGAATAAGGCATAAAGCATTACATCTTAAGGTCCAAAAGTTTTAATCAAATTGATAGCAATAAAACATTGGTAAATAAAACAAATGAGAAATCTAATGATTTGCGAGAAGGTTACTTTTAAATAGGTAAAGAAGACCTCATTGGAAAATTCGTGATAGAGTGGATTTTAAATTGCATTGTAGTTGCAGTGATATCAACCACCTCTACATCTTCTACTGTTGTATCCGCACTTTTTCCAAATCGATCTAAAGTTCGTAATAATCGACAATCAGTACCAGTTGTTTCATTATGTCTGTTGAAATTCTCCCATTCAATGCAAATATAATACCATGATCGTTCTCGTAAATCGGACAAATATACCTAAATCAATATGAATGAATCGATTCAAATGGTTTGTTAAATTTCAATTGAACTGAAAAAAATTAAACATCATTTAATCTGTTAACATTTATCTTGTGTCATATTTGAAACAAATCTAACCTCATTTTCTGATCTTTGACCTTGTATTATAATGATTTTTTCGTCTATCTTCATCTATTGCAGTCAATTTTTTACATATTCAATAATATTATGAGAATTTGTAGATCTGAATAATGAAAACGGATAAAAAGATTAAAAATTTCATTTCCATTTGCTCGATTATCTGTGTACTTTTGAGGAAATTTAAATCAATTGAAAAAGTTGAAAAGAACTGATATATGACCTGCTTATCTTCCCGAATGCTATCAGGATAAAAAACTTTGGTAACAAGCGGTTCGCCTGATTTTAATGGAATTGCCGAAACAAATAATGTTGGAATTTGAGTTGGTGAAAGATGAGTTTCAAGAAATGAATTCAACAGAACGATTCGAAAGCCATGCTTTGTCGTATCTACAAAATTTATTGCCCTGAAATAAAAAGATAAGAAGGGAATTACTTTTTTTTTCTAGTCTTAGATTTTAAAGAATCCTAGAATGGAAACATTCAATTTTCCGCTAGTGAGATTGTAAAAATTAATAAAAGAAGATTAGCGAAATCGAAGTTTAAAATGCGATAAGCTGAATTGACTAATAAAATCAAGAAATTTCGCATCTTTCCGTCTTCAGAAATAATTTTTTTCCACACATTCATCAATTTTTCAATATTCATTAATATAAAATAGAAAAAAAGAAAAAAACAAAAGTTTTTATTGCTAAAAAATAAAATTCGTATAGACAAACGATTTAAATTTCTGATTTAAAACGGAAAAATTTCAACTATCAGAATCAATGATTCAAAAATTGAAAATCTTACAATGAATTATTTGAAAAAACGAACCTTGCACTGATAAATATCCGTTGATATTTCGGATTACTGTAAACAGCAGTATATAATACTGGTAAAAAAACAATTATTAATCTATGTATCATCTTGATAGATTTATTTTTCCGGTTTGAATAGTGTGAATGCTTTCATATGAAATAGCATTTTAACAAAATCTTGTCAAAATTATTGCCGAGTAGTTTAAGATAGGTGAATTAGTCCTGCTTAGTTTAGTAAGGAAAATCAATCTGAAAATCATTTTTTAATAATTTCAATCAGTTTTCATAATTTAAACCTTTCCAACCATTGATTAATGATAAATTTAATGGTAACATAAATAGCGACATTTGCAAATTTACTGTAATT